TATATTAAATATAAATCATCAATATTCCCTATTTAGAACAAATTACATGCTTCGATGAGCCGTGCCAAAATGGAGGTACTTGTGTACTTTTGGCCCGCCGAAAACGTCAGGTGTTTTTACCTCCGTCATCTGCGGGTTGTTCCTGTAGGGTGCCATACACTGGATCATTTTGTGAAATAGGTACGGTAAGTTATCAAAACATATAACGAGTTGCTCAACGCATGGTTGGATGTATCTAAAATTTCCTTGTAGACTGCATTTTTACACAAGTACATGACATTTCACTCCTACACTGACAACTGTACACCTCTGCTGACACACTATATCATTATTTCACATTACGGTACTGTATTGTATCAATCAAAACAGCCAAACAGCGCCGCCGCTGGATAAAGTAGGCCTTGTTTTAACGTATTAAACCTTGTTATTTTCCCCAACTCTCTCGCTTCGCGCCTTTGCTTGCTGTGCAACTAAATCGATTCCAAAAAATTTGGACAAAATTTGTTGTCAAAATTATGAAACATTATTCCATAAACTACATTGCAACATATATGTCGTCGCCCTGCAAGTCGAAGATTGGATTTTCTTACATTATCGGTCCTTACTGGAGCTTACTGACATGTAATGAACATGCCTCACAAAACAGTAGGCATATATACTTTAAAATACATTAGTAGATAGGCGTATGCAATTCACTAATTGTTATTTTGTCTTATAGAACTACCGCCATGTGATATCGATTGTAAAAACAACGGGGAATGTCTACTTCACCCAGAGACTCTTAACTATTATTGTGCCTGTGCAATTAATTATTATGGTGATTTCTGTGAAAGTAAGTAGTATTCCGAAGCAAATATTATAACATTAAATTATTTGGTGCATTTCAAATTTTCTTAGATTTGCAATAAAGTTATTTGAATCTTTACTCTTGAAATAATATGGTATCATTGCCATAGTAATGTTATCAATTTATCATCTGTAAATGGAAAGAACAAAATAAATGTAAAATGAAATTAATCTTCGATTGAACATTAAAAGACCGGATCGGCGATGTTTGTTTACAACCGGTCACGTGACATAAGTTGTACGAAAGACTATGAAAGGCAATAGGATTGTTCAAAATAGTGTTTATTTACTTATCCTAGCGTTTTCATAGGATAGGAAATTTAAGTGATCCTTTATAAACTTTAGCTAGCGACGGGACTATGGACGGCCGCAGTAGCAATCTCCATGTAAAACATCGCTGTGCCAATGTCGCTTGTTTATAATATCCAATACTCTAGTTAAATCTTGTGATGCCCATCACCGAATCGGTCTATTAGAGTTTACAAAAACGTCATTGGAGTGAAAACTTATTCCATTTTCCTTTATCGGCTTCTGAATTAGAATCTGAATTAGTAAACTTAGTAAATACAATAGTCTTCTGCGTTTAAAATCTTCTAAATAAAATGAATTGTAATTTATTTCTATTTTTGCTTAAAAAAATAACAATAACTAGACAAAGTTTGGTTGAAACCCTGTATAATGGTGCCCGTAACTGCGTACAGCTCAATGGTTATCTCTCAAAATACATCAATTTAGATTGTGGAATTCGACAAGGGTGCCCGTTGTCGGCACTTCTTTTTATTATTGCTGTTGAGATACTAGCAAATTCCATAAGAGAAAACAACGTTATTAAAGGTATCAATGTAAGTATAAACGAAAATAGTAAAGAAATAAAAATTGCTCAATACGCCGATGATACCATTTTAATTTTGAGAGATGGGAAAAGTGTTGGAGAAGCCTTTTGTACACTAAAGACATTTTGTAAACTTTCAGGTCTTTGTCTTAATGTTGCCAAATCAAATGGAATAATGGTCGGTTCATGGAAAGAAAGACGAGACAATATTGCTGGTATAAATTGGCAAAGTAATGCATTGAAAATCTTAGGAATTTATATTGGATATGACCGGAAACTTTGTGGAAGAAAAAACTGGATAGAAAAAAATTGACAAATTGGAGAAAATATTAAATAGCTGGAAAAAAAGAAAACTTACTCTTTTCGGAAAAGTGACAATTATTAATGCATTGGCTTTGTCTGAACAGTAGTGTTCTTGATATTCCTGATTTTGTATTTAATATGGTCGATAGGATTATATTTTCGTTTTTGTGGGATTCCAAGCCCGACAAAATTAGTAGGAAATCATTATATGGTGATTTGCTTGAGGGAGGTATTAAAATGCCTAATTTTGAGGCAAGATGTAAGACATTGAGAGTAAAATAGTTACAAAGATTAATTTTACCAGGGACAGCTCCATGGAAAAATGTCCTCTCCACCTATTTTAATAAGGTTGGAATCCATTTACTTATTCTAAGAGCACCCAATATGGTTTGCCCAATAATTGAGAGCATACCAAGGTTTTATAGAGAGGTTATTTCCACTTGGTCTGATTCTGGTGGTGGGAGCACAAAATACCAAATTTCTCCTACTGATATTTTAAACCAAGTAATTTGGGTAATAAGGAAATTCATATTAATGGTAAAATGGTGTTTTATGCGATGTATCCATTCTGGCACTGTCAAAACTGTTGTAGATAAGAACAAGTTCGCAAGTCCGGAGGTGTTCCGACAAAAGTTAATTGATAGTAATATTTGGATTATAGAGTACTGGGCCATAAAAAGTGCAATTCCACAAAGATGGTTTGAGACCCTCAAGGAAAATACTGAAACTCAAAAAACAATAAGCGACATTGACGACCTGTATCTGCTCGAGTATGATAGTTTTAATATTTTACCATTAAACAAATTAAATAACAAAAGCATGTATCGAAATATAATAGCCAAAGAAATAATTAACCCAAAAGCTATTAGTTACTGGCAAAAGGAACTTGAAATGGATCCTATTTACTGGTCATCTATCTGGAAAATAAAAATTTGTCAAATTTATGAAAAAAAATTAAGACAGTTTAATTTCAAGTTATTACATGCCACTTTGATTAACAATAAGAAGTTCAGAATATCTTCAACACCTCTTTGTTTTTTATGTGGTATTACTGAAGATTATATGCACATGTTTTATTATTGTAAACGTGTTAATGGATATTGGCATACTATCAAGAATGTATTAAAAAGGAATGGATTTTTAGTTGATATTGATACAAAAGCTATTGTATTTGGTGTTCATAAAAAGGGAGATAGAAATAACGTAGCAAATGAGTTGATCAATTTAGCTAATTTCGTAATTTACAAAACATGGCTCAAGACACATGAATGTAAACAAAACATTGTTATTATAGCAGTTTTTTACGCTGAACTTAAATTTAGAATAAGTTTACAACAAGACATTCATCTAGAGAAAGCAAGCAAGATTAAATCTATTGTTATCCAATGGTGTAGTAAAGGGATATTACTGTATTTAAATAATTATTATCATTATTAATATTATTATTAATTATTATTATTATTATTATTATTTGTACTATTGGCATACTATTTCACTACAGTATGTGAGTTAATAACTGGATTAGGTATATTTAAAGAAAAAAAAAATCAAATATCTATTTATGTTACTCTAAAGGAAAACTGAAAGAAATATTGTTATTGAATGTTTTCAAATGAAAGTATTGAAATAAATGACCATTTGGTCAAAGGGAGAGAGAAAAAAAAACTAGACAATATAACACCTGGGTACTACTCAGCAATTCTAAAAATTAAATATCAAGAAATATTTATTAAAATGTTCAAACATTAGGCCTATCTTTGTTTTAATTAATTAAAGATGATCAGTGCATGTAATAATTTATATTTTTCATATCAGATGCCGAGTTATGTGATGAAATTGGCTGTAATGGCATGGGTACTTGTGTAGAAGGTTCCTGTGTTTGTTTGGAAGGACACTACGGAGCATTTTGTGAACTCGGTACGTATTAAAAAATTTGCGTAAATTACTAAGCATGATAATAATCTTAGCTGTTTTAATATGCAGTATGTATCTCACCACATTCCATGAATGGTCATTATTGTTTTTATGAATCGCTTACACTGACTTTTATATCATTATAGATATTTGTTCAACACGCCCTTGTGAAAATGGAGGTCTTTGTATCCTGCCGATCAATGAATTTTTCTCCGAAGTGTTCACACCAGTAACTGAATTCCAGTGCGCTTGTGCACCAGGTTTCAGAGGCCCAACATGTACTGGAGTAATAGGTAATTGTTGCTCTTAGCCAGTGGTGTATCTAGTAGGGTGCAGGCGTGCCCCCTAAAAAAAAACTCAGGTCCTGCATTGATAATGTTCAAAGAAAAAAAAAATCATGGTCAAGTAGATAAAAGTCACCTCATATCGCCATAGAGTACCATACTTCTCCTTCGCCACCACATCAGCCCCTACCCCCTCCTCCTTCAATTTAGAGACTTCTAGAAACTGTACGCCACTGCTCTCACCAAGTAATGAGTGAATATAAACATTGGCATTTAATAATCATTTTGCAAGCGGTGTTATGAACTCTTCGCGCTGCAAAACTGTACTTGACCACTTCTGACATGCAAATGGCAGTTATATATGTGGCTTATAATATGGTTTTCAAAAGTTCCTTCTTGGTAGAAATTTAAAGGAGGGGATCATTTTAGTAACGACTTATTAGACTCAAAACATAGTTCAGAGGACCTACAGTACATCTAAATGGGATATTTGTGACTGAAAAGCCACATATGAACACAAACATGAATCACATAGGAAACACATAAATCAAAAATACATATTTAAAAAAAAATTAAGATTGGTTAAAACCACCCAAAATGAACAACAGTGAAGTTTAATTTTTTTTTAAAAACAAAACTTAACATTTTTTTTAACTTCAATGTCTTAGAACTATTCAAGACATGAAGAAGCCTTACTTAAAGAAGCCTAAATCTATAATATCATTAATAAAAAAAAATAAAAAAAATAGACGTGACGTTAAATATGTATGTGCGCAACTCTTCACTCTGTTTTGTCGTCCGTCAATTCAAAAACTAGGCCTACAGTAGGTCTAACTACAAGTAACAAATTAAATATTTTAATAATATAATTTATTTTTATCTGAAGTACAGAGGCATATATAGCTGATTTTAAATGCTAAATAATGACATCAATTATTTAAATGATGGGAAAGCGATTAAAATGTGTCGACAGAATACTAACCAACTAGCCTCTCCTGAGTGACTAGGGCCTAGGCCTAGGCCTACGCCGAGTCCGTACGTCTCTCTCCTGATTACTGTCTACCTAGCGCCTAGCCTAGGCCCTACACACTGTCTAGTTTAAAGTATGTGAATCCATAACAGCTACCTACTAATATCATTATTACTTTGTATACTAAATGTATTATTGAATACTTGCCTAGGAACCATGTAAATCAATATAATTAACGAAACAATCTGGATGTTGACGTTTCCCTCCAGTCACGTCTTGAAGTTCCCTTCAATTCTAGGTGGCGCTATAAAAGAATTTCTTTTGTACGTATAGGGTCGTGATTTGGAAGAGGCCTTTACCCTGAGAATAGGGACGGGCTGTTTATGATGACGATGATGATGACATTCTTTAGAGAGACATTTAAAAACTTACCTTTGAAAATGTATTCAACCCACCCAAATACTTTCTAAGGGCCTATATTTCATTTTTAAGTTAGTTAATTTTAAAGTCTATTATGTACATATGTCGTTAAAAAATTTATGCTTTTTTTAGTTGAATGCAGCCGCAACGAATATTTATGTGCAAGTGGCGAGTGTATACCACTTAGTAAAAAATGCGACAGTATTACGTATGATTGTGCAGATAATTCAGATGAACCCGATAGAGAATGCAACAACAGTAAGTACACATTTGGCACAATATGCTGACAATGATGATGTTAATGACGATGATGATGGTTATGACGACAACAAAGATGATGATTAATGATGATGATAATAATAATAATGATAGTGAATGATGATGATTATTATTAATGGCGATGATGGTTAATGAATAATAATGCTGATTAATGATAATGACGATGATTTTAACCTTTATAATTATTTTTGTTATTACTGGATTAAGGGCCTGTTATTCCCATGAATTGTACCATAATGAATAAATACAAAAATGCGCGCGACAGGCTAACACTTTATACATTATAGTACTTAACAAATCGTTGGGCCTTTTGTCATCAATTTATAGGTAGGTCTCTATATATCAATGATAAACGTTTTCAGTACTATATACGCTGTTACTTCATTGCTTGCATTGTCAGAGTGGTAGACATCTATCCGGATTCAAGTGGTGTATCTACAACGATTTAAAGAAATATGTTTCATGATATTTAATCTAAAAAAACTGTTTATAATTACAGTAACCATGTGGCACATCATTTTTTCAGATAATGAATGTCGAGATTTATTGGCTAATCTTGATTTAATGACGAGGGAATGCGGTGAGCTTAGTACACCGTTCCGATCTTTTATAGAGTCGGAGTCGGTGTCACTAATAAATGTATGGAAATTTAATTCACCTCCCTCCGATTTTCCAGGCGCCTCGAATATAATATCACAGGTAAGTAATAGGCCTAATCACAATAACAATGAATATTATCATGATAATAATAATAGTAATAATAATAATAATAATAATTATTATTATTATAATAATAGAAATATTAAAATACAAATTCAAAATGTCTTCTTTTCTGCCAATAGATTACTATTATTAAGATATTTAAGATATGCATAATATGAAAGATAACGATAAAAATGACGTCCAAATTTGTAGAGTTACATAAAAGCACTCCATATCATGGAGGATTTGTTTAATAACAGACCTGACAAATAGCAAATGTTTATAATAATGACTTTTTTCTATAGATAACGATTAACATCGAACCATACATGGGAACTGATATTTTAAGCGATGGAACCCTGTTTGTGGCACTGATTTCTGAAAAGGATGGTATTCAGACCCAAGTTTACAACTTCGAGGTGAGATTGAATGCATTAAACAATTGTTATTAAAAAAATAATGGACCACAAGCACCACCCCTTAAATATAGTTACTAAGATACCGTTAAAACATAAGCAAATACGTTCGTGGGACAACACGTACGCTTGCTAGACACGCGCGTATTCCTGGCTTTGTTCTGATTGGTCAGTTGTTTAAGTTTGATCGATACTGCTGAAGGGTACATTATTTTATGAACATTGTTTCGATTAATTAGTATATCACAAACTCTAAACTATTGTTTATATTGAGGAACACTCTTTATTTAATCGTTTGGAAGGAGTGGAAGGAGTTTTTTTTTAAAGGTGAACTTAAATTAACATATTTCTTGAGAAAATTTTGCCATCTGCTTATCTCTAATGATCAGTAACATTGCCCCCCCCCCCACCATGTTTATTTTTTTGCAACGTTGTTATTCCAATAATATGTATTCATCCCCCCCCCCCCACCATGTTTATTTTTTTGCAACGTTGTTATTCCAATAATATGTATTCATGATGTGCGTATAAATTACGGTCATGATGTGTTGTCATTATGACAATATTTAGGCATGTCACATGTTTTGTCAGATTTAATTTGATAGTTTTTACAGGTCTTTACCACAACGTTCACAACATTTTACTAACGGGTTGCCAATAGTCTATGTAAAGGTGAACATTTGTAGTGTAAAATAACGAGCAGGTATTTGTAAGGTGATAATATTTAATTTTCCAACATTTTTTCTTTTCTTTGTTTGTAGGTATTATACCAAAATGACAACGGACAAACTAAGTTTATCAAGTATCTGACCGACATCTACAATATGGGTTTTAATGGTCAATACGTTTCCCTGTCCTTTCTTCCTGATGGTTCTACAGATCATACACTACTTCCATATTTCAAATGCGAAATTATAAACGAAGAAATTATAGAAGAAGAAACTTCCTCCTGTATTACCTTGATGACTAGAATGTTTGTACCTGAGTGTAACTTTAACAACTGCATTGATAGATACGGTGATTGGAAACAGGCCAGTTATCAAAAAAGAGACCTCAACTGTGGAGTTTCTTCCATTGATAGTGTCGTTGATTCAACCTATCAGCCTTGTCTCAGTAAGTATAACGTGTTATTTTTTTGACGTGTCTAGAGGTTAGTTATAATTATTAGTGTATACAATTATTAATGGTTTTGAAATTAATATTGTTTTATTTTGCAGGTCCACCATTTATTGCATCCGTCAGTAGAAGCATGGACGTTGGCATCGAAGAGGTAGTTTATTTGTATTGTGTTGCGTACGGAGAGCCGACGCCCGCAGTTAAGTGGCTGGAAGTATCTGAAACCGGTGAAGTCATTAATACCAGCGAGCCAGCTGATGGACAAATAGTCTTCGAACTACCAGATGTAACCTCAGCCACTAGGTATTAATAAAGAGAATTATTTAAGTTCAACACAATATTGAAATGGTTACTGTAATTGTACTCGATTTACTTTTGAGGCAAAAATAGAAATATAACTGCAGTACAAACAACGAGGTAAAAGTCAGCGTACCTGCTACTAAAAGAATTAACGCTTACTACACTGCTATTTTTGACGCTACCACTGCCGCTGCCACTACCCTACCACTACTAATCTACTATCCTGCTGCTACTACTACTACTACTGCTGCTGCCACTACTATTGGTCCGTGATACAACGTGTAAACACATACAATTCGCCCTCCAATTCGATATCACATTTGGGACCAGAAAATGTGGGTGGTGTCGGGGTTTGGTCTTCACTTATAGGTTAGATTAGTGTTAAATAGATTGAAAATTTTATTTGGTTCTTTGAAAAAGTGGTCTCAAATTAGATGGACTTGGAACTTAGAGGGGTCTCGAATTGGAGTATACACTGTATCTTAATCTTTCAATCTTTACAATATATTTAATTTTGGCTCGAATTATATGACAATCTATTTCTTTTTGACATTGTAGATACGTTTGTCTCGCCGCAAACGTGGCGAATGAAGTAGTAAGCGATGATGTAGTGATTTCACTAGAAGGTAAGAGGAGTGAAAACACATATTATTATTCTTTGTAACAAAAATCCCATCAAACAATTTTCGTGTTGCACAAGCATAATTTGTTTGAGTTGAGTAATGTGTAAAGCTTGAAAATGGCCATTTAGAACATTATAACAACTATTTTGGCTTAGTAAAAGAAATCAGTCGGTCGAATTATTTTGGCCTAATAATTAATACATTATCATATGTATGTGTACATAATATATGTATATATGTACATGTATATGCATATAAACCAGATAAATATTATATGTTGAGATGTATAATTATGTGCTGTATGTGCGTTTATATAGGCCTACATGTATATACTGTATATATATATATATATATATATATATATATATATATCATTATCATCTTTATTATTATCAGCACCATCCTCACAAACATTATCACAGCAAGAGTATTAATATCATCATTATCATTATCGTCATCATAATTATCATTGTTGTCGTCATCATTATCAATCATCAACGACATTATCAATACTATCATCATCAACATTATTATTATTATTATCAACATCATCCTCATCTGTATCATCGTCAATAACGAAATAATATCATCATCATCTTTATAATCATAGTTTAATACAGTTATGTTACAGTAATACAGTAATGTTACATGTTACTCATTTTTAATCTACAATTGTTTTGCTACTATATTTCAGACCCTGTTTGCAGCAGTCTTCAAAATTTATCTCGGGAATTTTCAGTTACAAATTCTGTATGTTTTAATGAGACCGTTAAAAATATTCTTTCGAATGAAGGACAATTTGGTGGATTTACTTACATCGATGAATTTACTGAAGGAACTGTCTTGTACGCTGTATCATTTTCCTCAACCAACGTAGACGTTGGTGGTGGAGAAATGTCTTTCTCATCTACCTCTGTAGAACAAATTGGCCCCGTCGTGTTGTCTATGTATTTAGTGATATCAGACGTGATTACAGGCGTCGTTATTTATAGTCATGTGTTTGAAGGAATAATAATTGTTGACCCGAATATTGAGAGCCGTAATCCAATCAATTTGTCTTTTGATACACCAATCAAAATTAATTCTACGTCTCGATATGAGTTTAGGCTGAGTACCACAGATCAATCATATCAGTTAAATAATCAACCGTTGGATGTTAAATATGTTACATGTGCCAGCGGAACACAAGGCTGCCAAGAATTCATCAGTGATTGGAATGGACTGATCTCCGATCAAATTGATGCCGGATGTGACGATATTGACATCCAATACACAGCAGCTGAGCTTTGCTTTGGGGAGTTCTTTGGGGGTGTGTATAATTCTTTTAAAAGTACATTATTTTTAGCACACTATAATAAGAAAACGACCCATAAAACCTGAATTAGTAAATTGGTGTGTAAAGTGTAATCTTTACTTTAAACTGGACATTTTTCATAATCGATTTTATGTTATTATTTGTATTGGTGTGATTTTAACCATTATTGTTATATCTTTAAATGAATGTTTTGCAGCTTTGAAACAATCTTATAAGAACAGAGCATAGTGTATCATTTTGACATAAGTTTAGGTATCTTGTATTATGTATCAAATTAATTATTTAACTTCAACAATCGTGATTTGACTTTACAGACCCGGAAGTAATTAGACATCCAGAATCGCAGGATAATGCTATTGGTATAACAACTTTAGAATGCAATATTGAAAATGTGGAGTTTTATGAATGGTATAAGAACAGTAAGCGTATAACTAGTAGCGGACCAACCTATAGCTTACAACTCCAGGATGGGCAAGATCAGGGCGACTACGCATGTCTAGGTTTTAGATCTCAGGATGATAAAGACGCATCATCCAACACAGCAACTGTATTGATTACAGGTGTATCAACATTTAGAGTAATTGCTAGATTCCAGATCGCATTCGAAAGGGCCTATACCGACAGAGAGAGCGAAAAATTCAAGAACTTTACCAGAGACTTGCAAACATCAGTAAGTAACTTATTTTAATCATTGAATATTTGCATTGAATATGGTTATTACAATCTAAATGTATGTTGGTATGTATTCTTATAGTTGAAAATTATATATAAATATATATGTTTATATGTAAAGGTAAAGGTAGTCCCATACTCATTATTAAACATAGAGGAATTAGCTGTCCATCGTACTAGCCTCGGTATTGAGTGGTAAGTTGGTCAGTTCCTTTTCACGCCATCCCTTTTCCTCCGGTAGTGAACCACCGGGTACCCATTTATATTCCTGTGTGGAGAGAGACAAACGAGACTACAAGCAAAATGCACAGCGAAGGTTCGAACCCCTGACCTCGAAATTGATAGACCGAAGCGCGACAGCTGGAAATATACTTATATGTAATATAATATGAATACAATATAATCAAAAAGATAGATAGTATTTACAGTGCTTGAATAATCGTATCAAGCATAGTTCTTCAACAAAAAAATTCTCCTTTTAATTGTACGAAAAAAGTGTCTAGGCGACCCGAACTCGTTCAAAATCAACAAAATCATAAGATATCGGCGCTTCGCTCCAGTACCGTCTTTCATACAAATTAATTTTACTTTCATATTTCATGTTTTTGAGCCCTTTATTATTTTGTTTTATCTATTAGTATATACATAGTTGTGAAGACGATGCCAATGATATTGTCAAAACCTTCACAACTATGTTTGTTATGGAATAACGTGTTATATCATTTCACAATAATACATCTGTGTATACATATGTGTTTATGTATATAATATGTATACTGTATATTATGGTGCATTAGTATTCAATAAATATGTGCTCGAAGCTGCAGGGTGTGGTATCTTTACGAACGAAGAAGAATACCAGACGATCTATACATTTAGAAATACACATGCCTATCAAATGTAACATTACTCTGTCATTTCTAGCTGGAAAGCAAAATATCTACCCCCTTTGAGTTGTATATCACTAGCATTAAGTCGGGAAGTGTCATCACAGAAATGGAAATGTATTTCTCGGATCAAGCTCAGAATGCTTCAGCTGTAAGTGTCATGATCAACGACACACTAGTAGCATTGCCAGAATACGAAACAGACCCAAGCTCTGTCATTGTCACCAGTATATGTAAGTCTACTCTCCTTAAGATAATTCTTAACCACCATGTCTCCGGTTTTAGAGATGTGAATAAAAACCAAATCATGACATGATTTTAATTATATACTAAACGTCAATTATCAGCATACTTCATATAATTTGTACATAACAACCTAGCTCTGTCATTGTCACGAGTATAGGACTATTAATGTAAGTCTAGGGCTACCTTTCATGAGATATTTCTATTCACCATGTGTCCAGTTTTATCACGTAAATAAAAACCCAATATTAATTTAATTATAATTATACTTAAACAAGTCAATTATTGGTATATTTCATACAATTTGTACATATCAAACTAGCTCAATCATTTTATAAGTATATGTAAGTCTAGGCCTACTTTTCTTGATAACTCGAACCACCATTTTACTATATAATTATAATTGTGTAGAAAATTAAAATCTAATTCGGCTTTATTCAAACGAATAGATATCTTCTCGAATTTTCTTAATAGAAACAGGTAAACCTCTTGAATTTAAATAATTGACAATTGAACCAAATGAATGTACGTTCATAAAAATAACACCACACATCTTAGAAATAACACAAAAGATTTAATATTAAAAGATATGTTTCTGGTTTCCAATAAACCATCATCAGTAATTAATAGGAAAAAAAAAACCAAAATAAAACCAAGCCCTTTTTTATGGGCTATAATTTTGCTGCACGTTAATCAACATATTTCCTACAATTTGTACATAGCAACCTGCGTGGGAGAAGATGTCACACAAGATGGTATTTTGTACAGTTTCTCTGATACGCCACTTGACGCAACTGCAGAATCTGTGCAAGACTGCCCTCTATACTCAGACCAAGGTTTGTAAACGCTATCAATTATAGTTTCATTTTATAAATCAATATTAAAATACATTTTTAGCCGGTTGTAGTACTAAGTATGTTTGCAATAAGCCATACCACCGTTCTAATTGTGCATGCGCTTATCATGTGGTATCCAAGGGCAATCGGCATAAACCTATGTTGTGTATGGTGCTAGAACCGTGAAATGGCTTATTAATAGGCAGTTTTCGAAGCACGACGTTAAGCTTAACGTTAACGGATGACGTCATAATTTATTCATCTTGCGTTGCGGAGTACGTTAATTTAAGGATTTTACGTGCTCGACGTACGTTAGTTACGGGTTTGCGCATGCTTATTTTGATTTGTTTACAAAAGGGACAGAGCTATCGCGCTGCATGACGGGTACTAACGTTAAAGTCAAGGTTAAAGTCGTGCGGCGAAAACTACCTATCTTCTGTGACATTGTGCCATGGTGCTTCTTTCTATATTAGGACCCTTCGATGTGCTTCTTTTGGGGGTGAACTCCTTTTCCTTAAAGCCAAATTCCGGAAGAAAAAATATTTGTATGTACAACTGATTTTTCTTGGGAATGGTTACCGCTCGAAAAAAATGGGGTGTTTTACAAAAACTGAAATTTATATACTGCTGGTACTAAAAATCTATACGTTTTTACTGCATATAATTTACATCATTAGAATCTCTATCCTTTTCTTTTGCCTATAATCATAATTTTAGTGTTTAAAAATAAGGATAATTTAGTCATTTTATCTGTTTTTCCAGAGTATATTGCAAGCTCTGCATCCACGTGAGCGTCAGGCTGCCATATGCTTGTAATGCTTAAGCATGTGGTGAGGAGTTTTGGATGATTCTCATAAATCTGATTGGTCCGATAAAACTACTCAACCGATCAATCTTATATTTAGAATACATTTAGAAGACAAAAAGGGCTTTCGAATGGACCTTTCCCAAAAGAAATCGGCCCACAACTTTCGACTGTAGAGGGATTTATGTTAAAGACAGCTGGGATATTTCGGCAGATTTCACTGTTTCTACGCTGAAAAAATACACGAGTGGGTTTGATAAAAATCAAAAGTCCGATAAAGGTGTTAACATTACACTTATAAATTTGTAATTGTTGTAATGACTATTAAATTCCGATCAGTTTTATCTTTTCCCAAAAAAAATCGATGAAGTATTTGCGAAGTTATTACAAAAAGAAGTTGAAAAATGACCAAATTTAGTGGTTTTTGGCGACCTTCACTGCCGTTTTATCGAATTTCGACACGAAATATTATCGTAATGCATTTCTAACTTTCTAATTTCTCTGTGACAAATGTTTCTATATTTAATAATTATATTTAGTGTTTATATTGTAAAATCACAATGTCCAAATTACATTGATCTACTAAGAAGGCGGCCTAATAGCCATTTTTAAGTGACCATAAAAATAAATATAGGCTACAATCAATATTCATAATGCATTACTGGAAGACGGTATAAAGTTTATATCTTTACGGTTTTACGTATCACATTTCTCTATAATTTATCTACATTTTTGGTAAGATGGTGTAATATTTCTTCTATAAAAATTTAAATAAAAAAATAAATCAAATTATGTGGACTAAATTTTATTAATAGTTTGTTTATAAATATTTCCAGATAACTTTGGACGTAGTCGAAATAATCGACAATGTAATCGAATCTGGTGTGCTCGGTACAAACCAATCAATGCGAGAAACAGCGTCATCATTTGTGACGTCACTAGAGCGGCAACTTGCAACTGTAGCAGCAGCAGGCATGAATTTCACTACGGTACAGCCGCATGTCGGCGTTATGACGTTGTCAGTTAGCTCAGATTCTCTAGAAAACGGACTTGTGTATGTGGCATTCTCTGATGGTGATTCTGTTAAGGAAAATTTTGAACCGAACAATGTGAAAACTTTTTTTGAGAATATCTTTCCCATTGACATGGTGGGAGCGTCCATCGCTCTTCCACCTGAGATAGTTTCTATAAGCCAAGCTCAAACAGGGGAGGATGAGATTCGAGTTTATTTTACTGTTTACCAAAATAGTTCGCTATTTATTTCAAACAAATTGTCTAAAGAGTCCCGGCAGGATTTTACGCGGCAGGTTGGCAGCCATGTTATTTCAGCTTCGGTAGAGGCAGTAAAGATTGACGGATTGGTATACCCTGTAAAAGCAGCATTTCTTCCACGTTTTGTAAGTGTAACTACCATTATTTATTACCTATTGGGATGGATGGATTTATTCGGTGTAAAAACCAATGATAACTCACAAAAGCCTGAAGAAGAAGACTTATTTTCAGTGGGATCCTTGTGGTAGTTGTTGAGCAGTACAATAGGAGACAATCCCATACTCTTTTCCGAAGAGTCTACTGCGTTCTTTAACAGTCGCATGGGCCATAATGCGCATTGGACCAACGGATTAAATGTATCATCCGAAAAAACATTGCGCTACCAGCTACCCCTCCAGCTGAAATAGGCCTACATGGAGAGCAGCGATGGGAATTGAACCGGGATCAAGGGATCTCTACGGTTCAGCGCGCTTGCAGTGGTTACCTCCACTTCAGCCGATTAAGCTAAGCTAAGCTACTCTCGCATTATTGTTTTTCATAATAACCTGTCTTAATTTTCATTTTATATTCGAATCCATTATTTTGTTGATTTGTAGGAAACTATCAACAACACAGAATGTGTTTTCTGGGATTTTTCCGTTGACGATGGCGTGGGTGATTGGTCAAGTGATGGTTGTGTATATAACAAGACAGAAGATGACCGTGTAATATGCTTCTGTGACCACCTTACAAACTTCGCTATTCTTGTTGTGAGTATGCAAACAGTATTTTAGTTTTTAATTGCCGTGAGTATGAGCCCACAAACCATAATGTTGTTTCGGTTAAATAAATCAATTTGTTCAGTTGGTTAAAATAATAATTGAAATTCAATAATATAAAGAGACAGACAAACAAATCCAGTTTCTCCGTTTTAAAAGTACATAGGTAGTGTTAAAATATGATTACGAAAAAGCAAAAATTATATTGCATTTCTTTTGACGATTATGTATTTTATCCAAATATATCAGCATACTAGGCTACATGCTTCTAATGGTACAAAAATCATTTGCATTTATTATTTGGGATAATTCTATATTGTTATTGTAGGCCTACTACATTTATTTTCATATATTCTAGATTCCGGAGGATAAACATCTCAAACGACTGAGTAATAATACTGCATTTTAATTATATATTTAGAAACCATTTTTCATATTATTAAATTATAGTTAGATATGCAATTATTTTAGGAATAATAATGTATGCTTGTGTCTTGGTTTGAACTTGAAAATAAATCCAAATTTCTAAGTTAATTCATTGTTATAAATTTCTTAACAGGATTATTATGAACCTAAGGATTCGCCGTTTCAGGATGTTTTGACTATCATCAGCTTGATCGGATGCATCGTGTCCATTGTCTGTCTAGCAATTACGATTGCCACGTACCTTTATTTTAAGTAAGCATAATGTAAAAAAATGATTTAAATAATTTGCACAGCTTGAATTCAACCAGATTTGTTTTCTTTCTTGTCAGATCCCTCTTTTGTTTACAATTCGTATTACAGTATACATTGCATTATTTTTTCAAATGCCTTTAAATCACATTATATACAAATATCTCATTCGAGATCCAATAAGCTGAAAATAATGCACAGAAGAGGACGTATAAGATTTCTAATAGTAGAAGAAAGAAAGAGGAAATAACATAACATATGAATTGATTAATTTAGCTAATATTTGTAAAATCAAGGTTTAAAATCCGTGAAGATGGAAAACATTGTTAATTAAAACCAGTCTTTTGTTTCTAATTGTTTAAGTAAATTTAAATCTATCACAAGGTATGCGAGGGTCTTTGAGAAAAAAATGTAAAAAAGAAAAGTATATGTGAATAAATCTTTTAATTTGGTATGCTAAAAAAAAAATCAATATCTATTTATAAATTTGTTACCCTAAAAGAAAAAGAAAACCTGTTGTTTTCCCTTTAAAACTCCTCATCTGTTACGTTACAATTTATTATTTTCAGTGGGATCCTTGTGGTAGTTGTTGAGCAGTACAATAGGAGACAATCCCATACTCTTTTCCGAAGAGTCTACTGCGTTCTTTAACAGTCGCATGGGCCATAATGCGCATTGGACCAACAGATTAAATGTATCATCCGAAAAACATTGCGCTACCAGCTACCCCTCCAGCTGAAATAGGCCTACATGGAGAGCAGCGATGGGAATTGAACCGGGATCAAGGGATCAATACGGTTCAGCGCGCTTGCAGTGGTTACCTCCACTTCAGCCGATTATGCTAAGCTACACTCGTATTATTGTTTTTCATAATAACATGTCTTAAATTTTATTTTATATCGAATCCATTATTTTGTTGATTTGTAGGAAACTATCAACAACACAGAATGTGTTTTCTGGGATTTTTCTGTTGACGATGGCGTGGGTGATTGGTCAAGTGATGGTTGTGTATATAACAAGACAGAAGATGACCGTGTAATATGCTTCTGTGACCACCTTACCAACTTCGCTATTCTTGTTGTGAGTATGCAAACAGTATTTTAGTTTTTAATTGCCGTGAGTATGAGCCCACAAACCATAATGTTGTTTCGGTTAAATAAATCAATTGGTTCAGTTGGCTAAAATAATAATTGAAATTCAATAATATAAAGAGACAAACAAATCCAGTTTCTCAGTTTTAAAAGTACATAGGTAGTGTTAAAATATGATTACGAAAAAGTAAAAATTATATTGCATTTCATTTGACGATTATGTATTTTATCTAAATATATCAGCATACTAGGCTACATGCTTCTAACGGTACAAAAATCATTTGCATTTATTATTTGGGATAATTCTATATTGTTATTGTAGGCCTACTACATTTATTTTCATATATTCTAGATTCCGGAGGATAAACATCTCAAAGACTGAGTAATAATACTGCATTTTAATTATATTTTTAGAAACCATTTTCCATATTATTAAATTATAGTTATATATGCAATTATTTTTAGGAATAATAATGTATGCTTGTGTCTTGGTTTGAACTTGAAAATAAATCCAAATTTCTAAGTTAATTCATTGTTATTAATTTCTTAACAGGATTATTATGAACCTAAGGATTCGCCGTTTCAGGATGTTTTGACTATCATCAGCTTGATTGGATGCATCGTGTCCATTGTCTGTCTAGCAATTACGATTGCCACGTACCTTTATTTTAAGTAAGCATAAATGTCAAAATTGATTTAAATACTTTGCACAGCTTGAATTCAACCAGATTTGTTTTCTTTCTTGTCAGATTCCTCTTCTGTTTACAATTCGTATTACAGTATACATTGCATTATTTTCTCAAATGCCTTTAAATCACATTATATACAAATATCTCGAATGAGAGATCCAATAAGCTGAAAATAATGCACAGAAGAGGACGTATAAGATCTCTAATAGTAGAAGAAAGAAAGAAGAAATAACATAACATATGAATCGATTAATTTAGCTAATATTTGTATAATCAAGGTTTAAAATCCGTGAAGATGAAAAACATTGTTAATTAAAACCAGTCTTTTGTTTCTAATTGTTTAAGTAAATTTAAATCTATCACAAGGTATGCGAGGGTCTTTGAGAAAAAAATGTAAAAAACAAAAGTATATGTGAATAAATCTTATAATTTGGTATGCTAAAAAAAAAATCAATATCTATTTATAAATTTGTTACCCTAAAAGGAAACCTGTTATCTTTCCTTTTAAAACTCCTCATCTGTTACGTTACAATTTATTTTACAATATATATATATATATATATATATATATATATTAGATGTGTATAAGAGACAGGATAGTCTCTATAAGCCAAGCTCAAACAGGGGAGGATGAGATTCGAGTTTATTTTACTGTTTACCAAAATAGTTCGCTATTTATTTCAAATATAGGTCTATTATAATAATTAGTCCCTGTATAACTGATTTATTTCTTGAAATTGCAGGCAATTTCGAAGCAAGCGCCCTCAAAGAATACTTATCAACCTATCATTTTCTTTGCTTCTCCTGTATCTCGTGTTTGCTATTGGAATTGAAAAGACAAGTTCCAGGAATGGGTGTATCGCCGTTGCCGCATTAATTCATTATTTTGGACTGGCTTCGGTATTCTGGATGTCCATCGAAGCTGTAAACATGTACCTTATGTTTGTCAAGGTCTTTTATGATGATATTGAATATTTCATGCTGAAAGTATGCGCGATTGGATATGGTAAATATGATGTGTATAATGAATAAAAGTAATGATGGTAATAATAATGATGATAATAATGATAATAATAATAATAATAATAATAATAATAATAATAATAGTAATAATAATAATAATAATAAAATTGATAACAATACTGGTAAAGACAATGATTTTCATAATAATAAAATTGATTATATGTGAAGTTTGACAGACACTCCGGAATGGTCCATTATTACTTGTCATTATTCATATTCTTTTTTAGCTTTCGTAAAATACATATCTCATTTTTTTTAGGTGTTCCTCTTATTATTGTGGCAATTTGCTTGGGAATTGACGTTGACAACTACGCGAATGAAAACTAGTAAGTATTGAATTATTATCACATATCACAGCTTTCATTCTGAAATTAGTTTAATATATTAATGTCAACTAATAAGCCACTTCGTAGTTTGATCAGCGCATGCCGTGTCAAAGGTCAATCGACAAATAATATGTGCGGGTTAAATGTTTGTCGGTTGACCTTCGATACGGGCATTCGCAGATCAAACTACCAAGTTATTACTATACCCATTTAATCAATACTCAAATTTACATTGTGAACATTCAAATTAATTTAAAAAAAGAGAATGACAAAAAAAAAAAAAGACCAATAAAATATGGAAGTACATGATGGAGGCTTCGAAAGGAGTGGTGTGATCATAGTATCTTAAGCCTCTACGGGGCGCCGTACTATCCACATACACAGCTTTTATTATTCAAAATTCATATAATGGAATTCAACATCTGTTACACTTCGATAATTTATTTTCGAACCTATATGTTTATTTATATATATGTTTTGTTTGTAATATGCCTATTTAATTATTGTTGTGTGACATTTAATCTGGTAATTTAATAATTATTTACTGTTGAGATAATAAATATATAAATAAAGAAATATGTATTAATTGATATTATATTATTTTTACATTGCAGCTGTTTCATTCCTTCAGGGAATGTTCGAAATTTTGGCTTCATCCTCGTGATTGGTGTCCTCATATTGTTTAATAGCGTAGTATTCATTTTAGTCATGCGTAAACTTACCTGTGGGCGAAAAATTGCCAAGACGATCGACCAATCAAAGAGGGAGATAGTTATCAAACGTTTACAAAATGCTATAGCCGTTTCTGTCCTACTCGGCCTAACGTGGGCTTTCGGATTTCTGGCAATTGATTCGGACTCATCTGTACGGGATGTGTTTCAGACGTTATTTTGCATTTTCAATTCACTCCAAGGTCTCTTTATCTTTTTGTTGTTCTGCGTACGACAGAAAGATATTCGTGATGCATGGAAGGGATGCTGTAAGGAAAGCGACAGAGCAAGCAGGGTGAAATACGCCACTGATACGAGCAACAAAAAGGTTAAGGACCAGAGTATTCCATTAACGCATGACTCTACTCAAAACAGTAATACTCAAAGCAGTAATACTAAGAGCAATGTTTAAGTGTAAGCCTAGATGTCAATGATACGTCTATTATTAAAAGTTCTACAGCACGTTTATTAAGCGTCTAGGTCCCCCTCCCCCTTGTAGGCGGTCCGTGGGACAGATTTTCCCACGGAACCATTTACTCTAGCCTGTGTGGTCGTGAAAAGATCTGTCGCTGGAAGATAGATTTTAGATATAAAGGGAGAAAGGCATCTGGGATCCTACTTCGGATTTTTTTTTAGTTTTAAAGATACTGTACGTAGTTTTCGTCCCTCCGCCATTAGGGCATTGAACAATTTTAATTTTCGTATTTTATGTTTATTTTTGTTAAGGAACAAGATCAATTTTCATTGTATGTGTATTGTACATGTATATAATGACAAATAAATCTATTGAGTATTGAGTTGATGTTTGGAAATGCACTCTCCTGCATTTTGACGTCTATGTGTGAAAGAATACACTACTTTAATACATAGAAAATTAATAATGATGATAAAGAAGATGATAGTGGTGAGGAAGGGGATGCAGCGTAGCTGGGTGATGACAGGTTCCTGCGCAAGATTACTTACCTGGTCCTTTGAATTGAAGTGTCGACCGGTGCCAAACGGTTGGAGTTTGGCAACATTATCGTCGTTGTCGTGGTCATTGTCAATGCACTCAGACATCGCACAACAGTAATTGTCCATTGTCCACAAGTTATGTTATATAATTTATGATATCTGTTTGGTATAAAAAGTAATGAGACGCACAAAATATCAACAAACTACCGGGTTTCTGGGTTGATTTGTAAGGTACTACATGGCTCAACTATTTTTTACTTAGGGGTTAATTGGTAAAAATCGCACACAAATCATCCAACGTCACTGACAACGCTGGGGACGGCAACACGATTTTGAGATTAATTTTCCGAATAAAGTTTAATAAATAACTTCTAATGACGAACTATTGTCTTCAGTTGTCTTTGTTGGTCATTCAACTGTCATTTTATCTATTTTTTCCGTGATATTACCATTCTCAATAATCTGTAAAACAACCACATAACAACGTCACGTTAAATCGATCGGTGGGGACCCCGTGGTGACGCTGGTAGGGTCAATTTTCGTCGGAAGGTATCAAGATGATAAACAGTTTCATTGGACTAAATTCTTGCTTATGCTAACTGCATGCTTACCTAAGATTATACTGACACTGGTTTTAAATCACAGTCAAGTAGTTTAAAATTACGGTACGGTACCTAAAATAACCTTATTTTACGAATTAGCGCCCCTCAACTGATCATCGAGCCCCCTCACTTCACCTACTCGCGCAGATTCCTCTTTTTCAACGTTCAAAATTGGTTTGTATATCTATAGAATTGTCGCATATATATACATATATATATTTGATTATATATATATATATATATATATCCCATCTATTTATGTATTATTAATAATTTATTTACTTGTATATAATATGCCAATGAATGTTTATAATCCTTTACTGCAACCAGCTGCAAAGGAACACACACTAGCTCTCTATGTCCTACAACATTAATTTAAAAAAAAAAATCAATCATAATAGAAATATATACTATAATACTAACTTGTATTCGTACATTGGTAAGCTAATACTATGATGAGTTTATTTATATATAGCCTTCTTTCAAAATGGCTTCTTTTATAGTTTGCCAAAGTAAAGAGATGGTGGGGGTGGGTATGGGTGTGACCTCCTTTAATGTTTCAGAATTACTACTATAAACAATAGGACTCCGGAAAACAATTTTATCTATGAAATCCTGTTAAAAATAATTAAAAATATATGTATAGGCCTATATATATATATTTTTTTTTTTAAATAATTTTTGAACCATAAACCTAATAGACAGGCCTAAGGGCCTATATAATAAATCCATTAGTACAAACAACAATTGTTAATAGGCCTAGCTTCTTTTTGAGGTAAATTTTGCAAATGTGAAAAGGGCTTTATTTCGAGATGGGCTTGGGCTCGAGATTAAAGCCTGTTTTCCACTAGGCGAATTTATTCTCGCGAATCGAAATCGTCGGTTCACATTTCTATTGGAGTTTTTAGCTTCACCGAAATCAGTAGTTCTCTTTTTACTTTTTGCGAAGCAAAAATTGCGCAGCGAATCAGAGCTCAAAAGAGCCGACGCTTTCGATTCACGCGAATAAATACGCCTACTGGAAAAATGGCTCAAGACCAGGCTTCTATTCGAGGTTTTACGGTATATACACACTGTACAGTATATTGTGTGGATAATTGGGTCCTTTATTGAAATGACTTTCGTAACACTAGTTAGCCCAATTGGCCAACCTGCTTATATTTATAAAGAGCCTAATATAACATCATTCACACACCAAAAAGAGAGAAGCCACATTGATTCAGTATTATAGTCTTTTACTCCTCTGGTTTTATTGTGAACGCACCTCATAACGTGTGCCATTGATTCAAAAATAAGTTATTATCATTAGAACATTATGTATGGAAATGTTCAAATTATGGAAGGAGAAATAAGCCTATACACTACAGCCCTCAATTTGTTTTTTGTTTTGTTTTGTTTTTTCTTTTTTTTTAATAATCCCAGTTACAAGAAAAGGGTGTGTGATTAACAACAATGTAATTCAAGATACAGTACTACTATGTTGTTTTCTATTCAGCGTGCTCACTTTAACGTATCGCTGATCGTCTGCCAAAGAACTGTAGACGAATGAATTGTATTCCTCGCATGGTTACAGTTCATGCACGACGAGAAGCAATGGCTGGTAAATCGCGGTTTAGCTCGGGTATATCTTCTGGTTTGACCATAGGAATTTTAGTACTAATATGTAATGTTGATGGGCGGCCGGACGGGGCACCCACATCAGCATGCACAAATTTGACGCCAATGCATCTAGGCCAGTCTCCGCAGTCCTCTACCGCTCCATTTAGTATCATTCCAACGACACAATCATATACTCCAGGAACGAATTTAGCTGGTGAGTTTACAAACCCATCAATCTGTGATTACATTCAAACATTAATCAATTATTTTTAATTAGTCAGGTCTTATAACCAAAAGTGTTTTACCTGTTACAGAAGTGAAATATAAAACATATATAAAAACCTCTTATAAGTCACTACCAATATCAGTTAGCAATATACAGACATAAATTATATTAGGCCTAAATATAATTTATCTTGAGAAAGACTAACAGAAAATGTAAGCAGTTTATCTTAATTGGTAAGTTATTAGCATATCTAGAGTTGTATAATAGACCCTAAATTCACGTATATCAATATATATGTTTAGGCCTACAATCAGTACAGTATATTCATAATATTTACGTTTATTATTTATATTATTATATTCAAATTTCAAGTCTAAGTGTGTAATTTCCAGCCATCTAGAGGTGCCATAATCACAAATTTTCTTGCCTCAGCCCCATCCATGGTGGGGCTGAGGTGGTATAAATTCTCCATCTTCTGAAGTACCCAGCGGCGGATTCAAGGGGACCCAGACGGCCCGTCCCCCACCCTCCTAAATTGTTCAATAAAAAAATGGAGATATAAAGATAATTATATTCAAATTTTATGTCGGGAAGTGCAATTTCCGGCCATCTAGAGTGCCATAATCACAAATGTTCACCTAAGCCCCAACTATGGTGGGGCTGAGGCACAGTAGTTTAAATCTTCTATCTCTGAAAGTACCCTCCCTGGGCCCTTCTTTTTCGAATTCCTGGATCCGCAACTGGAAATTTCAACAAATATGAAATCATATTACAGTAGTTTTATGCCTATAAACTAACTTCGTAAAATATCCGTAGCTTCCCCCACTGGGGGCCCTTGGCGGCCCCCCTGACCATAGCCTAAATGCTCGCATACGCGACCTTATTAAATGCCCCCCCCCACCACTTTCAAAAACGTTCCGCCGCCGTTGGTGCTATGCTCTAGAAAATTACTTTTGAAGATATATTTCTGAAGAAATTGTAATGCCGACTGTTGTTTAACTATTTAGTAGATTTGAATGACGTTGTGTGAATATACTTCAATACGTTTTATTTTCACATCGCTGAAAATAGTGCAGATGATTGTTCTGTTGGCGTCAATATTTTATAAACGTTCAATAACCACAATAGTCTCTTAACATGTACTTAACCGCAATCTACATCATCTCTGATTCACTTTACTGCCAGAGGGCAAAATGATTGTTGTCTATTTTTTTTCCCTCTATTACGGTATGTTTTCCAATTCTCCAACAGGTCATGAACCAGTTTAGTATTCTCTGAATTAATTAAAGGCTATTTTCTTCATTTAGGTAGGCCTATACATTTACGTAAACTTTGTACCACAGTACGATGCACTACAAATACGTTCGGAACATACTTTAAATAGTTTGTTCATATATTTTTTTACACGATTTTGAATGACTTCTAAATACGTTTTAGATTTACTTCATTGCAAAGAACCGAAATGTTCTCAGTAGGTCTAAACTGGCTCTGTGACCATTATACTATTTTATAACTATACTGTTTGTTTATTCTGAAATCACATACATAAGCATACGAGTACTCATAAACGTATTATTATCCGATAGTTATCATTTATCTAGTAGGGGGCCTGAATTTTGTGCAGATTAATAAGTTGTTTGGAATCGAAGCATGGCGGTTTGAAAGTTGGTGAATTTATATACGTTTCTCTTGGCCTTCATAAAATTACTAAATTTTAGGGTTTATTGTTGAAATATTGAACCCAAACTTCAAAAATAGTAAGATTAAAGGTAATACTTTATATTTATGACATAATCACATTTTGCTCAAATTACATGTTATACTGTCTATTTGGCCCCTTTTCTCGAAACCTGGTGATGCGAGTTTACAGCCCTTTTGTGGTCTCGGGTCACATATTTGTTTGCACTCTGACATTATTTGCTCTCTGTGCTTTCCAACAATAGTCTGAAAATGAGGCTATTTGCCGAATGTTGTTTACCGCGTAATGATGAGAGAGCCACTGTTAAAGTGAGACCATAATGCAATAAAATAATTAAACAAGTCATAATATAGGCTTAGCATTTTAACTTAATATATTTGAGGTCTAAAAAAATATCGTTACTTAATAATGGATTACTTATAGCATATAATCTATTGCAAAATATAATTTATAGTATATTACAATATGAATAATTACTGATATTCCTATGATCTATGATAATAATAGACATATCACTTTAGTTAAAGACGATGCATAGGTCGGCGTTATTTATTAATAATCTATATATATTGAAGTCTACGTAAATTTCATTACTTATTAATACATCATAGATTACGATCCAAACATAAAATACAAATTGTAGTGTAATCTCAATAATAATTGTAGTATTCATATGGTAATTAAAAGGTATATCACTATAGTTACAGATTTGTTTCTAGGAATTCCAGGAATGATGACGTCACCAAGCCTGATTACGGAATTCTGATCAGATGCTTGATGACTGGAGCTGGCACCAAATAGAAGTATATCAGCATTTTATTTGTCACTGAAACTGATCATTTATGAAGAATCGGTTGAACAAGATCAGTAACATTTAATATTTTAATTTGTTAGCATATGACTGTATTGTACATCTTTAATAATAAGGAAAATTCAATGCAAACGCCGGGGAGGATCTAGAATGATTTTGCCGGGGGACGCGATGAAGGCCATGATAATAGAGGGGTGGGAAGGATGGTGTTTAGAAGGAGAGTTTTAGCCATTTTGATATTATCTAAGTAATTTCACACGTTGTTAGATATAATTTGCTTGCAGTCTGGGTATCTATCCTTATGTTCCCTCTAATTTCGTCATTGCGATGGCAAGTCAACTACATACAATATATTGTGAAGTTCAATTGTCGTTGGAGCTTAACATTTAACCTGCAATATCAACATCCATGTTGTTATACTGCTATTTGTTTCTTCACCTTTGTTATGGTCTGTTTAAACTTCATTTTTCAATAACCATCGATCACCTTAAAAATTACCAATTGTCGTTGCTGGCGTGGGATGGTGTTTTTCAATACTCATTCTATCTTTGTTCGTGAGTCTCCTTCTGTTGAGATATTTAAAATTCGTCTCAAGACTCATCTCTTTAGTTTAATTTAATTTGCAAATTTCTAGCGCATAGAGACTTATGTATTTTGCGCTTTACAAATCCAAATTATTATTATTGTTAAACAAAACACGAATACCGGATCAGTACAAATCATTGGTGTGTAAAAAGAGGGTAGGGCTCGTGAGTTATGTCGACAAAATTAGTTACAGCATACTATAATTCTGATTCATGATCAAATATGAAACAGTTAACGTTTCGCTTTTACTTCAATTGTCATAATAGAGGCTTCTAGAATTAATATTTCCTGAACAGTTAAACAAGTAGGCCTACTAGCAAAGCTGATGATAAGGGCCAGCCTACAGAATCTCACACAATCACAGAACATTAATTAAAACCCTAAAAATCATATAAATTATTATAAATAGGCCTAAGTATGATCTGGAAGATTCTCCTTAATACCATGGGTCTCAAGCATAAGAGCGAAAACAAGAGCATAACATCGTAATTGTAAGAGTTTTGAAAATCTGTTTATCTTTTCATTCTTCTGAATAACTTTTAAAAGTTTTAACAAAAGTAAATGTAAAACTTTTCTCTTCTTTACATTAATTGTAAAATAAAATACAAAATCCTTTCCTTGACTGTTTGAACAAAATTTAACTTTATTAACATTTTTCGTTTGGTTTAATATATACACATGGGCAGATGCAGATACAGTAGGCCTCTAACAGGAGCAGACAGGGAACCTGAAGGGAAACAGTTAAAGTAAAACTTTCCATTATGTTGACCGAATACTAGCGAGTGCTCTTAAGGCATATTATTAATTTAAGAAATTAAATATTGATCAAGACATTAAACGTGACGAGTGCAGTTAAACATTTAGGTCGAAAAGGAAACTTTCTTTTTGAACCTAGTTAAACAGGATGAATGTTACAGAGTAGTCCATATTTAGGCTAGAAAGACCGACATAGCCTATGAATAGGCCTTGAAAAATACATTTAACGGTGATGGAATATGGATGGGAATTGGATAGTCCTACAAGGCAATATAAATGGATTAATTATGTAAGCAAGTGGGAGGTGAAAATTGAGGTGGGAGTTACTATTAGGCCTACTGGGAATCGGTGTGCATGATGTACCATTATGTTAGGTCACTGAGACCTAGTCCTATGTGAATGAATTGTAGCTTAGTTTAAGAAACATGATTATAGGAATCCAATCCAATCCAATCGGTACATTTGTAAAACGCCTTTCTTTGCAGATACGAAGCGCTGCACCCTACATACTTGGTACCTCACAACACACAGGCAGCCGTGATCATGAGTTACCTAACCCAAGCACATACTAAGTAAACAAATCAAAAGAAGCTGTGGCAAAGTTTGGAATATTTATACTGAATAAAGGAATATTTATACTGAAAACAAAGGCCATAAATGAAATGTAAAATAATGAGAATGCACATTGATAAATTAAATGGTAGTTAAGTTAGAAGTGGAGGATTTTTGATAGGCTTTGAAGGGGATAACATCATTCATGATTATTTTTCAAACAATCCTACCTTACTTTCAGTGTGATTGTCTCCATAAGCCGTGGATTAATTTTGAAGATAAAACCAAAATAAAGCATTAAGTTTACATATTTAGATCTCAATCGGAGACCTTTTACAACTGACTACCTAGTTTCCATACAATCGCTACGTACAGCTTTCGGTGATGCTGGTTGGTTGGTCGGTCGAATCGGGGAGCCTTCCCGACAATCGGCGACTGCGTCGGGGACTGCTACGCTTGTGCAATGGTTGCAGTTAAAAGCTGTAGCGATAGTGTAGCGATTTTAATTAAACCAGGCTTTAAGCTGGGTTTCCATACAATTGCTACACGCTATCGCCGACAGTATTCGATGATGCTGATTGGTCGGTCGAATCGGGGAGCCTGCGTTGGGGACAGCCACGCAATAGGCCTACAACGATTTCACTGAAAACACTGTAGCGACAGTGTAGCGATTTTAAAGAAAACAAGCTTTAGTTACGATAGAATATAGAATAAAGGAACCAGATAATTTTAATTTTATTAAAGGTAAAGTTAAAGGTAGGAGGATAACACTCCTGCAGCGTATTGTGCTGAATTGCGTATGGGCGTGGTCCGTGACTACCTAGCAGCCGTAAAGAGGTGCTTCATGGTAGGTACGTGTCACTTCATTCCACAACGACATGGGTGAAATGAACCAACATCGAGGTAAACCACCTACTCTTCAGAAAGATGCAATGGGTGCTTTAAAGTGCACACGAGCCAGATTTATACACTTGACCTCCATTTTAAGAAAACTTGGTTCTACCAACCGAACCATGGGCGATGAGCGGCTGGAACCAGCGCCTTTAAGGCTGTAGCTAGCAGCGCCCCTGCCTTACCGCTCGGCCACTCGACTCCATTGTATAATAAATGTTTTTATCTTTTTTGACAGTAAATGTAGTGAATGTTGGCAATGAACATTACACGGGAATTCTGATGCAGGCCAGAGCAGTAGGAAGCACAACGCCAGTTGGGTCATGGAGTTCACTTAATCTACCCGGTGGTACAAAGACGATAATGTGTAGTAATCCTGCAGATTCAGTTACTCACTCAAACTCTGTTACGAAGCCAGCCACTACGGTATATACATGGATCCCTCCCTCAATGCCAGTTGGAAACATCGAATTTGTGTAAGCTTATTTTTACTGTGGTTTATAAAAGTAATCATAAACGCAGAAAAATTCCAAATGTGTAATATAAGTATATTTATTGCATACAGTTATTACTATATTATTATTATTATTATTATTATTATTATTATTATTATTATTATTATTATTATTATTATTATTAGGCCCTATCATTATAGACCTGATCCAAGCTAATAGAAATTTTGATATTACCAAAAGTCATTTTTTAATATAAGATTTAAGGGGTGTTTTTTTAAGGATAGGCCTACATATTACATCACATAACAACAAGATACATAAAATAGCATTTACTATGTTAATCATGACCAAGAGAGCCCCAAAATATTATGTTTACATATATAAATGTACAAAAATGTATAAATATTGCACCGTGTCGTTTGTTATTTTATAAGGAAACTTTTACATAATTGATACCGGCAGTTCTTAATTTACTGGTTTTAATTCACTAGTTTAAACGCGCATCTGGAGATTTTAAAGAAGATAATTACCATTTTGACAGCTATAAAGCGAAGTGATAGAGTAGACTTACCATATAAAAATATAAACCGAAAATGAAACAAATTTGTAGGAAGAGATAGACCATGTAATGATGAAACATAATAAGATGAGTTAGTATCAAGCCAAAAGCAACCGTGACGCAGGCTGGGCTCTTTACAATTCCAAATAATATGTTTAAAAACTTACATAACATTGTAGTTGTGATTGTTGTGATTTCTTGTCCAACTGTAATCTGCATTGTAACGTTGCAGTCAGCCATAGGTATACAATGGGTTTTTATCTTGAACAATTCTGTCATCGTGAGTCACTAGCACGAGCGAATAGTTAAGAAATACACAATAACTTTTGGGACGGCGTTTTGATAATACCGACTGACATTTATTTCCTAATTATAAAGTCCATATTATTATGTTCTTGCTTTTTTTTTAACTTGTAGGGCAACTTTTGCTGTGTCCCGTGAAGTATATTACGTTGGTGCCAAGTCACAAACCGGTAAGACGTCTCATCAATAGTAAATCATAATACCCATATATTTTTAATAGTGTGCCAATGATGTATGGTTCTCCACGGTTCAGTCAGGGGGCAGATCCAGGCTAGGGCCGGCGCTTAAAAAAAGAGAAAAAAATAAAATAAAAGTGGAAATGTGGAGAGGGAGAGATAGATAGAGAGAGAGAGAGAGAGAGAGAGAGAGGGAGAGAGAGGTGGTGTGGGGGTGGGGAAGAGAGAGAGAGAAAATGGCATTAAAAGCAGTGGCGGATCCAGGAAGTTGTATTCCTTGATTCGATTCGAAAATATTCTTAACTCGTTATCATTCCATTTTACAATCGACTAAGCCACGCAACCCCGCAACCACCCTGCCTGGGGCTTCGCATGATCTCTGTGCCCATTTGGACCCGCCACTGGTTCAGCACATATGCAGTAGCAACCACCATTTAGCCGACTGACCTAAGCTGTAGTGTAATGACAGTGGGGTTCCAGTCCCATTGCAACCTGGTCCATTGCGACCGACCCGATACGCCACACTGCCATTTTCAATCCGGTCATTTGTCACCCAGGCCCATTGCCACCTGTCCTTTGGCCAAAATTCAGGGTGGCAACTGTCCTCAACCCAACATATTCTACCATCAGTGTATATCTATTTAAATAATTACTATTTTCATAATTTATAGTAGTAAACCCGTGTTTGTCTAGTCCGTGTCAATGGAGGGGCCTGCTTACAAAACGCTGCGACTACTAGTTAGGCCTATATTTGCAATTGCGCAAATAATTATGAAGGACGAAAATGTGAAGGCAACGGATAATTAAATTATTATATTGTTGTTGTTGCTGCTAGTGGTAGGGTTTATAATGCTGTTTATGACGGTGATAGGTGTGGTGCAGACTGGTAATGAATGATAATGAATATCCAACCTTATTTCAATTTATTGCATAAGAAAATTTTTACCATATATACATAACTCAATGAAAAAGACGATGAGATGTCAACGACTTGGTCTGCATGTGTCACATGTGACACATGCTGAAGAAGACCCGAGGACGGGTTGAAATATTTATGTTTTGAATAAAATTTGTGTTCTAAGTCTACCAAGTCGTTGACATCTCATCGTCTTTTTCATTGAGTTGTGTATCTAGGGAACACATGTGGATTACATCATGCTCTCTCTCTCTCTCTCTCTCTCTCTCTCTCTCTCTCTCTCTCTCTCTCTCTCTCTATATATATATATATATATATATATATATTCCCTCACATCCAACAGCAAGTAAACTTGCCACTTACAGGATGAGAATACTTTATAAACTAAGTCTCTTTATGAGGCGTAGAGAGTGGAGTTGATTTTGGTCGTGAGAAAAAGTCCTGTTGGGATAGCAATTGAACCCAGGACTCTGGGATCATAAGGCAAGCATCTTAAACACTGAGCTATTCAACTCCACTCCAAAAAGTTCAACTGACATGCTTGTTATAGGCCTACTTTTGTGTGAATATATGACAAATGAACTTTGTAATTGTCATTAGGACCTAGTGTAATAGTCAATAGGTAGGCCATTCTTACTTCACATTTTTTTATGTGTTATTTCGCAGTGATTGTTTGAATAACCCCTGTATGAATTAAGATACATGCTTACAAGGGACAACGGGTTTCGACCCAATAGCCACCTAATCCTTTGCCATCCGCCCGGCCTTTGCCATACACCCTTTTCAAACCCCTTTTGAACCCGGCCATTTGCAAAAATGCCGGATGGCAACGGTCCTCAACCCTGCATAGTGACTGTAAGTTGATCAATTCATATTCATTTTATAGTGTATAACTATTTAAATAATTACTGATGTCCGTAATTTATATTAATAGTATTTAAACCGTGTGGGAATGGAGGGACCTACTATCAAAGCTCCACGACTGCTGGTTATATTTGCGTATGCGCCGACAATTATGAAGGAACACATTGTGAAGGTAACGGACACTTAATTATGTTGATTATGGTGTTGTTGATGATGGTGTTAATGCTAATGGTATTGATGATGATGACTGTGATGGTAATGGTTGTGGTTGTGGTTGTGGTGATGGTGCTACTGATAACCATGATGATGATGACACTGAGAAGAAAACTTTTGAGAAAATAAAGTTTGCCTGTTATAGGCCTTTCTATGTGAATATATGTCTCATTATACATTGCAATTATCAGTATGGCCTAGTGAATCCGGTCATTTACCACCCAGGCCCGTTGCCACCTGTCTTTTTGCCAAAATGCCGGGTGGCAACGGTCCTCAACCCAACATATTTTACTATCAGTTGTGTATAACTATTTAACTAATTACTGATTTTCATAATTTATTGTAGTTAACCCGTCTTTCGTCTAGTCCGTGTCAGAATGGAGGGGGCCTGTTTACAAAGCGCTGCGACTATTAGTTAAGCATATATTTCGAATTGCGCAAATAATTATGAAGGACCAAATTGTGAAGGCAACGGACAATTAATTTATCTTATATTGTTGTTGTTGCTATGTGGTAGGGTTTATAATGCTGTTTATGACGGTGATAAGTGTGGTGCAGACGGGTAATGAATGATAATGAATATCCAACCTTATTTCACTTTATCGCATAAGAAAATTTTTACCATCACATGCCACTTACAGGATGAGATTGCTATATAAACTAAGTCTCTTTATGAGGCGTAGGGAGTGGAGTTGATTTTGGTCGTGAGAAAAAGTCCTGTTGTGATAGCAATTGAACCCAGGACCCTGGGATCATAAGGCAAGCATCTTAAACACTGAGCTATTCAACTCCACTCCAAAAAGTTCCTAAACTCATGTCATTCAATTTGTGTCATTTCGCAGTAACTATTAACCCGTGTTTAAATAGCCCCTGTGTGAATGGAGGTACCTGCTTTCAAGGGACAACGTCCGGTACTTATACTTGCATTTGCTTAACTGGTTACTCAGGAAGAAATTGTGAAGGTGACGATTTTTTATGATCGTTTTTGCTACCAATTTGACAAATTATGAATGAACACATGTAATTAGGAGTTCAAATTACCAAAATTACATGTTGGTCACATGCTTAATTCATTTGCTGATTAGCTTAAATATGCAAATTACGGCTACAAAACATAGGGTCTGCATAAACTAGTATTTTTTACTAGAATTAGTATATCCCTATGACTAATAGCATCCATTGATTTAGAGTATTAATGTACTTTTCTGTATTAAAACAATTATTAAAAAGTTAAATATATAAAAAAAAATTACATTTACTATTTCTACAGCATTTACATTGTGTCTCACTGGTGCGTGCATGAATGGCGGCACGTGTTTACAAAGCTCTAGCGCCGCCAATATTTTCTGCTTGTGCACACCAGGTTATGAGGGAGACAGATGTCAAACCACAGGTAAACATATACTGTATATATTAAAACATTCTAATTAAATCTTGACTCATGAAAATACTCTTCCCATTGCATGAATAAACATTCACATGCACACACATGTTTATTTTCTCCATATCTTACATGAATATGTATGCAAGCAAAATTGTTTTTTTAAAAATTATTATTATAATCAGAACAAATCTCGTATGGTACCATTATTTTACATAGATAATGTTAAAGACAAAATAAAAATCAAATTAAAGCAAAATATATTAATTTCACTGTCATTTGTAGGCTAATAATTCTTCATTTGACATTCCAATAGTAACACCATTGGTTTACTATTGGAGTAATGGGTCATTAATAAAGATGAACTGTAAAGGTGGGTCATTGTTGAAGCATGGGTCACTAAAGGGTAGTGGGTTTCTATTAGTAATTATACAGTATAATTATTTTATTACTCAAGATCCATTTTTGTGGTAATGTTGATACTAGTCATTATTTATGGCAACAATTACCATTTTTGTCAAATGTAGGGAGCCTATTTAATTCCAAAGATGTTATTAACATTTTGGAAAAGACACCTAGTAAAAATGTACAGTAACTAATTTATAGTCTACTTATAGTTTGTAAATTTAGAAAAAAAGCGTGTTTCAAGGAGGAGCACCAGACGTACATCTTGGTTTTATAAATATACGTATCTATGGTCAACAGTGACATATGTTTTGCATTTGTTAATCTTAATCCTTTCTTTACTCCCATACACACAACACACTCATTTATTTCTTATGTTTCTCCCTATGTGCAGTGAATTTATGTTCAACTAATCCATGTCAAAATGGTGGAACATGTCTTCAAAGCTCCGACCGTAATTCTTATACATGTATTTGCCTACCCACCTATACTGGAACAAATTGTGAAACAGGTTAGTACAGATGATGTTTACATTATTTCAATCTCGGGATCGTGCTGGAGGGTGGGGTGGGGTGGTGGTCAAGAGAGTCTATGTGAATATAAATGTATGTTATAAAACTACTCATAAGATACAAGAGTTTCCATAAAATCGCTACAAGCTATTGCCGACAGCATTTGGCGACGCTGGTTGGTCGATCGAATCGGTATAGCCTTCCCGATTACGTAAAGCCCACATACGCAGCGTAACAATTGCAATAAAACCTGGCTCAAGCTTTGGCGTTATGGTTAGGAATTGGAGCTAAACGTCCTTCATTCTGGAGTTCTGGGTTAAAATGTTGTCTAAACTCCAGAATTTTAGCTCACGACCAAAAACATCTTAACCCCTAAGCATCTGGTGTGTCGGCTTTAAGCATCTTGTGTGTATGTTTGTCTTAGACACCCGAGTGGGACAGTGATTAACTGTTGGAACATGGTTCATGCATTTAAATGAATGAATTTAAAAAAATAAAAAAATAATTTATGTACCACACTTTCACAGTCGTGATGGACAGCAATCCTTGTTCCACTAGTCCGTGTGAGAATGGTGGGACGTGTTACCAGGGATCGACATCAAGTACTTATGTTTGCACATGTCCTGTTGGTTATTCGGGAACAAATTGTGACGGTAGGCCTATAACTCTGGATTCTCATATATACGTATTTTTCATATAGCAATTGGCTAAATCGTAGACAATAGGCTTTATTTTTTTTAATAGTAAGTTGTACTGATCATAGAAAACCATTATAATTATCAAAGATGATCTTCGTCCCATTTATTGTCTTTTCATCAGAAGCGCAAATAAACCAAACTTGAGCCGTGTATACCAGTTTCACTGTATCACGATCGTAAAACATATTATTCCAATGTTATATCGTATTCAGCATCACCGTCATTGTTCATCGATATCGATACCGTCACTTATCAATTTACTGTAATCTTTTTCGAATTAATTTTTAAAGGTATACACATTCATATATGCTCAATAAACCCATGTTTGAACAGAGTGTTTTGCCTTCAAGTCTCAACGGCAACATCCACTTACACGTGCTTATAGTCCGGTGGCTTATGTCATCCCGTGGGAATTTCGTGATCATTTTGTTTTTGTTTTTTAATTATATACTTTGAAGTATGCTGAATCGAATAAAATGAGTCGCCAATTTTTTTACGCTCTTCTTCATATGCAAATTAGCTGAAATATGCAAATTAGGTCTGAAAATGTAGGGTACTTATATCTTGGTAACCACATGTCGTAGAAAGTTGCTTCTTTCTTAAAGTTGTTCAGAACATGCATGTTTCTATACAGACATAACATCCGGAAGTGCCATTTTGCCGACCTTATTAGCATAAATATGCAAATTAGGGGTGGAAATATAGGGAGCTATATCTTGAAAACCAGTGGTCGTACAGATTTGCTTTTTGCAGCAAAATGATTAAAACATGAGTAGTAGTGTATACCACTTGAGGTGGTTTATGGTTGTTTATTGGGTATGAAACTGTTTATTTAA